GAATTCTCTGGAAAAAAAGGTCAGAATTATGAGATTAAATTCACAATTCTGAGAAAAAAAAGTCAGAATTGTTAGATTAAAGTCACAATTCCAAGATTAAAGACATAATTCTGAGATGAAATTCAGAATACTGAGATTAGAGTCAGAATTCTGACTTTTTTCTCACATTATACAGAAATAAAATTTAAAAATCAGTTAACTGCTTTTTTTTTCAGTGGCCCCAATCCTCTTCTATAGCTGAGAGCCAAAGTCTATTGAAATTATTGGTGGGAACATGTCCCCACCAGTCCTTCAGAAAGTTACGCCTGTGCATATTGACATGACCCAAAAAGCAACTAAAGTTTTTGACACCTCTTTACATTCAAGACATAAAAAGTTTATAGGTAAAGGGGCTTCAATCGAAACTAACAAGGAGAACTAAAGTAGCCTTGAGAATATATTACATGTTTTTTTTTTTTTTTTACTTCGGAAGGAGCCAGCTGAGGTGGCATCTATGTCTTTGAGCTGGTCTGGTGTCGCCTTGGGAACTGCTGCCTCTGTGACAGTAAGGAAGGAAGGAAGGAAGGAAGGAAGGAAGGAAGGAAGGAAGGAAGGAAGGAAGGAAGGAAGGAAGGAAGGAAGGAAGGAAGGAAGGAAGGAAGGAAGGAAGGAAGGAAGGAAGGAAGGAAGGAAGGAAGGAAGGAAGGAAGGATGGATGGATGGATGGATGGATGGATGGATGGATGGATGGATGGATGGATGGATGGATGGATGGATTTTTTTTAACCAGTAAATTTTTTATTAAATTTCAACAAAAGATGCAGCTACATACAATTTCATTTTTAAAAAAAGTAACTGTGAACATTTACTTAAAATTGCATTTAGAAAAACGAAAAAGTCATAGTAAAATAGGGGATTTAAACATAGCTCTATAGTATTTTCTGAAATATACCATCTGCAGTGACATTTGAAGATCTTGAAGTTGTGTTCTCTTCTTAAACAGCAGGTTGGCCAAATATGTTATGTCTAACTTATTTGATCAGTGTAAGACTTGATTTAAAACATGCATGTCTTGTTTTTGGACCCAACGTAGAACTTCAGTTAACAATTGGGTGGAAAGTCTTCCTCTGACGGAGCTTTCTTTCCTGTGGGTAATGAGTGGGTGCTAAGTCATCCTTTGCTGTGGTTATACGTTCTAGCTGTTTACTTCCACATTTATAACTACTGCATTCACATAGAAGCATTCATTTTTCCTTTTCATATGTTGCCATTAAAACAAGACTGATCTTCTAGAAATAGTTTAAACCTCTTCTGGTCACGGTGCTGCATAAAAACAAAACCTTTTTTTTTTTTTTTTAGATGATACAATGTGCATGAGATGTTATTTGCTTCTGCGAGAAACACACATATCTGAAGGATTCTGATGTTGTGATCACTAATCACTCACTTGGCATTCCTTTACAAAAAGTCATCACATACCAAGAAGACCATCAACTGCTTTTGGAAAACTTTGTCAAATTGACAGCACAGAATTAAATTAAGAAATACCACCTTAAATGTTGCTGTAAAGTAGTAAATTGCATTTAGTCATTGACTTTGCAGAATTAACTCCCCTCGCTGTGAATGGACGACGGGCTCGTGTTCTATGGTTACAACAATTGCTGACTCACTTTGGAAGGATGGATTAATCATATTTGGAAATATGCTAATGATTATATTTCTAATAGAATCAATCTTATTTATTAAGAATTCAATACATTTCAGCCTGGAAACGTAGATGGGGAGAAAGAAGCAACTGACATTTTTTGACATGAAGAAATGAATAAGTCTTTGGCCCAGAGACCCTGGCAGAAGATGTAGCTGACTGCAGTTGATCTGGAGTCAGCAAGGTCAATCCTAGTTCCGCCCTCTCTGCCCGAGTGTCTGGTTGGAAAATGGAGATTGAGAAATGAGGGGGGCAGAAAGGCTAGTGTGGAAAGAAGGTGGTGAAGGAGAGGAGGAGGTTTGCAGTTCAGCAGCAAAGCAAGGGTGTCTTCAGTCCTAAAAGGAGAGTGCTTAATGATGATAGGCTGAGGTGACGGCTGGGGCAGAGGGGCATAATCAGGAGATCGGCTGGTTATCCTCCCACAGCAGGGTGTCACAGTGAGCTTGACACAGATATTTTTGATTTATGCCCAATTTTGAAGCATGGTCTGCTCTATGTTATTCCACACCACAACTCAAGAGGGAAAATTACGAACTAGCTGTGGGTCTAGATACGGCCGAGGCAGTGAGGAAGTGGGGGCAAGTTTGTGAGACAACGGAGGGAAATGAGGGCGAAAAAAGAGCGGGGATCCAGGTGGAAAAATGTCCCAGCGTTCTCAAGCACATCGCTCTTCTAGCTGGTCCAACTTCATGAGTCGTTTTCCACAATGGCGGTCATACAAACAAAACAAGCCAGTAAGATACCAAACAGGAAATACGTACAGTGTAGAGCGGAGGTAGATTTGACCAATCAGAGGCCTCCTGTCTACGGCACTATTTGCAGTCAACTACAATTTTGGAGAGGTGCTCTAAAGTGTTTGCGGAAGGAGCAGGGGAACATTTGCGTTCACTGCGACACACACGCAGATGACCTGGTTGCTGAGAAATAATCAGCCTTTAGAGTTTGTAGAATGGATGGTCTTAAAAGAGATATGACTGTGTGAGTTTTGCAACAGTATTGACTAGACTCTGGGATTACTCTTATTTCCTCTTTAAATAAAGATGAATCACTTCTATTTTTTGCAAAGTATAATTTTATGCAATAATAGACTGTTTTTAACAAACTGAGTGGAGTTTTTTTAGAGACATAGAGCACCCAGAACTATCTATTTTGCAACTAGAAAAGCAATTTGTGGGAACAATGTTAATAACTGCTCTCTGCTCTGGTTTTCAGTGACGGAAAAAAAATAAAAAGGGGAAAACATTCTTCATAACTTGTTACTGCATTGTCTGATTATGATCTTCACAAGATAAACCTTATCTTGTGGAGGATGATTTAGCTAAATAACACTCAAGCACCATCAAAAACAGATACCGGTAAGAGAAAGTTGTAGAGAAAATACAGTCTTTTCTTCACAATCAATGCTACATGTTGGCACAAGTTCGAAAGTATGAAAATAAGAATGTGTGGGTCTGCACACATTTTTAACAAAGCTAACTGAATCTAGGGCTAAGTTAACACAGCAGACAAATAGGACCAAAATCTTGGATTTTTGCCCATATTTGTGCTAAAACCAACTTTTTCACAACAGTCTGTTTTTCATTGAAGAGAATTCCAATTTCCCATATCCAAGATTAGCTGCTTCCATATGTGGTTATATAGTTCCATAGTATTCGGTAGATTTCAAAGCATCTCCAGTCTGAACAGTAATGAGGCATTTTATCCATTTTGAACATCATTGCAATTGTTTCCATTATACATCCACACAGACCTCTCTACAGCACATGATTTTTCTTATCTTTTTTCCTTTGCCAATTAATGGGGCTTTAATAATATGGAGACACCAGTATCCAGTATACTGTGTTTTTTAATGCTTCTAATGACAGACATCAATAAATCTGCAAACGTAGTTGTTGGGATCTGGAGATTCACCACCTTTCTCCAGCAGAGTGCGCTGTGGGTCTCCTGGGCTGGAGCCTCCAGCACACCTGACGCTCATCAGCCCATTAGGAGACCTTCCTACATAAGCAGCAGCCAGACCTTCCTTCAACGCCGCAGTGTTGACCAAGTTTGGTTAGCGAACCTGAGCCTCTGTTATCCTGATAGAATCTTAGTTGTCTCTAGAGAGAAACCTGATTCTAATCTGCCTCTGTCTTCTTGCTCACAGGAAACCCGTCTAAGTCTAAAGCTCTGGATGAGCTTAGCCTGTTACCTGCCTGCCTTCCCTAGAGAGCCAAACCTGAAGATCTCAATCTGGACTCCTCCTGCTGCTCTCAAGGAAGAGCTGGAATCTCAAACCAAGGTCTGCCACTCACAAGTCAGAAGCTAGACGCTGCTGCTGCTGAGCACTCTGCTGAACCAACAGTCTCTGGACCCAACCGGTTCCCTCTCTCTCAAAGATCTATCTGGACCTCTTCAAGGTATATTCTGAATAATCTAAATTCAACAAACCATCTGACTGCCTGGCTAATCAAACTATCCGTCTCTGCAGACATCAGTGAATCCAGTCCCGGACCTGTGCCTGAGCCAGTTCATGTTCTTTGTGTGAAAACCTTCAATAAACTCTGTTAAACTTTTACTCTGTTTCCAGTGGTTTTCTGCATGTGGGTTAAGTCTCTTAAGCCAATCATGACAGTAGTAATGCTTTGCAAAGTCTACAACCTTCTTCTGTGATTGCAGGTTGCTAAGTCTAATTGCAGACACATTTAATTAGCATAAGACCTGCTTTGTGAATGTAGTCCCAGATAGCACTACAGGTCTAAGATAAAAACTGAGAATAAAGGCCTGAAAATACTAAAAAAAGAACAGAAGGGTGTTGGTTCCTTAAAATTTAAATAGCGAAATCTGGCTTAGATGTTCAAATAATTGCAATTGTTAGCTGGCTTTGAACAGCTTAGATAGTAAAATAGGTTGAAAGGTGGTTGCTACTCTTCCTCATGCAGCAATACTGAAAATTGAAATTTAAATAATGAGTGAATTCTTTTATACTAAGATTTTCTTGCTGGAGCCAGGTTTCTGTTAAACAAAAAAACTAACATTTGATTAGCATCGACAAAAGGTAATTTAAAAGTCCTTAAAGATGGATTCTGTTTTTAATAGATCACATCTAATTTTAAAATTCTTTCTTCCGTTTTGCTTAATTGGATTCGTACCACTTTTTATGATGATGGTTTTCAAGACATGCTTGCAGCTAAGAATCTTCTTTACGTCATCTCCCAGCTGTCAGAATTACTTGATGGACTTAAAAGGAATTGAAACTCCTGCATACAATTTTTATCACATTTTGAAACGTATAATCCATGAATTAATTTTAGATACATTTATTTAAGATGTACACCACATAAACAAAAAAACAAAACAAATGGAATTTCAGAAAGCATAAATATTTCAAAAATACCTTTTTTATAAAAGGCTATTTCGATAAGAGAACAATTAGTATCTAGGTTTTCTTCTAGAATGCAGCAATTGTAAAGTAATGCAGTACGATTTTTCCTTCAAACATTTTGTGTTTTTGGAAGAATTTTTTTTTGACCACTACTATTGCTACTTTTAGGTTATCCTCCAAAAGGTAAAGACGTCTGTGGTTATCAATGGGGATCTTTGAGCAATGAGTTGCGCATAAGCAACAGTAAGACTGAAGCCCAAATTCGTAGCTGCAGAAACATTGACAGAGGTTCCTCCTTAACATTCAGATGAGAGTCAATAACTCATAAAAAGCGGTTGTCCTTGGAAAAGATATTCATTTAACAGAGAAAACCTCCAAAAGGTCCATCTGAAGTGTGCCAATGCAACCAAAATTCTTAGAGGCTAGCACATAAAAAAGTCAGAAATCTAAGTCCACAAAACAAAGGATCTGTATGAGATAGATTAATCCTCATCTCACTATGGTTCAGTCCATGTTCTCGTTGTCCTTAATTTTCCTTCCAATTGGTTTGATGACATGTGTGAGAGTTACTCAGGAAGGACTTCCACATAATCTGAGCAGGCAGTATCTAAAGAAACAAACAAGGGGAAGTAGAATTAAACACAACAGTCAATGAAGGGAAGCTGTAAGTAAACAAGAAAAAATCTTTGACATACTCTCATAGTCATTGTCCTCTTCAGGTAAAGGAACAGCTGCTCGTGATGTGTATCTAGGCGATACTCCAGGTGATGCTCTAGCCGATACTCCAGGTGATGCTCTAGCCGATACTCCAGGTGATACTCTAGCTGATACTGCATTCGATACTCGTGCCGTTTCTTCAGGCTGTGTGTCCTGTATGTGTGGTGGCTGGATCAAAAAGGGAGTTTTCTTTTTCACTGCGCGGGATAGGTGGATGGCCAAACCCTGATTTTTTCTCTTGTAATTCCGGATTAAATCATCCAAGGTCTTAAAATAAGTTTCTTGCAAACCTCCTGCAGTCTGAAATGGTAACACAGAGAGAGATTTAATAAAATGTTTTAAAAAAAATTACACTTTCAGGTTTTTTAAATGTATTTTCGCTTTAAATTTTCTGTCTCAATTTATTTGATTTTTTATTTTATAGCACTGCTGCCTTGCAGCAAAAGGTTCTGGGTTTGACTCCCGGCCCAGGGTCTTTCTGCATGGGGTTTGCATGTTCTCCCTGAGCGTGCATGGGTTCTCTCCGGGTACTCTGGCTTCCTCCCACAGTCCAAAAACAGTACTGGTAGGATAACTGGTTTCTCTAAGTTGTCCTTAAGTGTCGGTTGTTTGTCTTGTTTGTCTCTGTGTTGCCCTGCAATGGACTTGCAACCTGTCCAGGGTGTACCCCGCCTCTTGCCCGTAGACAGCTGGAAATAGGCACCAGCACCCCTTGCGACCCCGCTTGGGATAAGCGTGAGAGATGTGATATCATTGCATCCTTTTATTTGTTATAGTTTTAAACAGTTTTAATCTTTGTGTACATACTGTAGTAGCTAGGTTTAGGATTTTAATTGAAATATGTTCAATTTTTTTATCTCTTTTTATTCTTATTTTTTATCTTTATTATATTGTATAGTCGGATGTGTGTATATATTATATAAACCTGTAACTGGAGCGTATAACAAAAGTAATTTCCCTCTGGGATTATTAAAGTATTTCTGATTCTGATTCTGATTTAGAAGTAGCTATAATGAATTTTGTCAATAAATTCTTATATTTTGAATTGTGAATTTATACATATGTGTGCAGGATTAACTTTTTGACCATGACTTAAGCTTGATTCACACTTTTATTAATGTTCCTAACACAGCCAGTTGGGCGTGTATTCACAGAACATATCCCCCCTACACTTCACCCCCGGATGGGCATTAAATATAAGGTTACTGCATAACATTTTCATTTATGCATTTATTTATTATAAATTGTAAATAATGTTCGTAGATTTAGAAAAAAATATATATTGAAAACTGGTACAACATAACACTGTAGTTCCTGCAGACAATAAACCCATGCAAAAAGATGAAATATTGACCTGTACAGAAATATATAGAGACTAGGGCTGCGACTAAGGATTATTTTGCAAATTGATTAATCTGTTGATTATATTTTTTAATAAATTGATTAATAATCAGATAGCCAAAGTTTCCTTAAAGATTTTTTTTTACGAAATTAAACCATGTGAAATTAAACTTTTCAACTAGAGGAGTTCTGGATAGAGTTTACTGACAGATGAACATTTAAAAAAAAAATCTTAAATAAAGAAAAAAAATTGTTTTTTTTACAATATAATATCTTAACTGCTCTAAGTGGGTCGCTCTGTCAACTAAACTCATGTTTTATAGTCTCTACACTCCAGTTAATGATTAATCTATTACTAAATTAGTTGATGATTAAAATATGTGGGCAGTAATAAGCTGTTCTGGTAAACCCTTCAGGTTTAAATAGTTCATATATCACTCGTGTAGAGCAAACAATAACTCCCACGAAGTGTTACTGCATCAGTATAACTAAGTTAGAAGCAAGAGAAGGTTTTAAAATAGCTTCTTTTGAAGGTATTTTAGACCCAACACACAACTTATCCTGTACTTCAGAGAACTGACTGTTTCTTTTGAACAACAGAAAAGGTTTCTGAAAACAGAGAAGTCCAGATTTATAAACATGACTCTGTTTAAGTTTTTAGATTAAATGTTGGATTAATGCTACCTGCTTGACTGTGTTTCCCTTCTAGACAGAGAAGAGAAATTACACCCGGGTCATATATGACTACCATTGTTTTTGACTTCAGGGCGGTGGAAAATAGTGGTGTGTGTTGTGTCAAAATAATGTCAAAAATGACAAAATGGAAAGAAAACCTGTTTCCGCACATTAAAGGTCAAATGTTCTTACAGCAAAATTAAAGCACCAGGATGGTTTGAATTGGTGGGCAGAGAAAACCTTGTTTCCAACCCAAATGAAATATGCAAACGATGCATCACAATCAACGAAGATTTCCATTATTGTTGCATAAAAAGAACACATTTTGAAATATAAACAAATTCAAAAAAATGAAAAAATGAAACTTTAAAAAAAAATTTAATCACAAAAAGATTTTGAGTGTTTTTTCATATTTTGTTTTATTTTTTTTTAATTTTTCAAAACTTTATTTTTTTTTTAAAAGTATTTTTACACATTATCTGTTCAAGCTTCTTATTAAATTTCTGTATTTTTCATATTGGGTTTTACGATTGTGTTCTTTTCCAATTGCATTTTATAGATCATATTTTCTTCCCTTCTAGGTCGGGGTTACCTTTGAAATTAGGGGCAAATTTCTCTTTATCTCCGCTGATGTTAGGGACAACAGCATCATGATCAGTGTGTACATCAAGAATCAATGTTTGAATTGGACTTAAAATTAAAGTGAATGTGAATGCAATTAGAAAAGCACAATTTTTAAAGCTTAAACTGAAAACAGAAATTTAAAGAAAAATGAAAAACGTTAAAAATATTGATTCCATCACCCATTTTCTCAGGCTTAATCCTTGTAAGGGTCGTGGTGGGGCCGGTGCCTATCTTCAGCACTCTGTGGGCAACAGGCAGGGTACACCTTGACAGGTGACCGTCTGTCACAGGGCAACATAAAAGGCACACAACCATGCACACACACAATCACACCTAAGGACAATTTAGAGAAGCCAGTTAACCTAACAGACAAGTTTTTGGACTGTGCAAGGAGGAAAGAGTAACTTTTGGATTAAAATGTTATTCAAAGTTTCATTTCTGGATTGGATATTTTTTCTTTATTTAAATTTACAAAATGAGTTCTCTGTTTGCAACAATAATGGAACAAATATACTCCATAGTCACACTTCCTGGTTAACAAACTGTAGAGGAGCTGGAATAATATGGTGATGAAGATGATGAGCCGCTGGAGGATTTACCAGGATGATCTGAGACTGAGGATGAAAGTCTAGATGGAGGAATCTGGAGTTCAGTTTATATCTTCCTCATAAGATTACTGAATGAGGCCAATAAGGTGTTAAAACTAAGCAAATGAATTTCAATTTTAATGGTAAATATGACCTACAGAGTCTAAACTTAGTTTAACCGCCTCCAATATCGTTTAAAAACTGGTTGAAATAAATGGCAACTTTCAGGGGGTTGTTCCACAGTGGCAGGTTGTAGTCTGACAGGAAACAACACCCCCCCACTCACATGCAGATGCTAACATTAAGTCACACGATCCCACGACACCAAGAAATTATCTTTTCCTCATGGGACCCAGACGTTAGTCCCCATAAGTACCTCTTGGTCCCCAAAATGTGGTCTATTTCTGAATGATTGCCCCCACACAGTAACATTGAACCCCAGTCGGCTGCGGCAGATGGCCGCTCACACTCAGCCTGGTTCTGCTGGAGGTTTCTTCCTGTTAAAAGGAGGTTTTCCTTTTCACTTTCACTACATACATGCTTGGTGTGAGGTATTACAATCAGCTTGTTTTCATTCAATCTGACTGTATTATCTGGTTGAATTGTCTCTGCAAAGTGCCTTGAGATGACATGTAAATATAAACAAACTGAATTAAATTGAAAACTGAATTTTAATTATCCAATAAATTTTTTCCTGTAACTATTCATGTTCATCTATTATTTAAATAACCTTCTTGCTTCCGTAACGTAGGCTACCTTTCTGTGTATTTTCTCTGTTATGTGCTTTTTTTAATGTACTGAACGTTGAATCGTCCTCCTGCTGAAATGTGCTGTATAAATAAGCATACCTTGCTTTGCCTTGCCTTTTCATTGAGTTAGAAACTAGAGTAATGAAAACAATTTTTAGACAACCTTTATTTCTTTATTATCATTTTCTAAAGGAACCAGAGGAAAACAATAAATACTTAAAGCAAAATCAATCCTACTATTGTAGTTGCATTTTTTCTCGCACCTTATGTATTTTTTTCAAATATTATAACTAAATATTTAAAACTGACCTTAAAAGTTTACCCTTAACCTCTTACACCCTAAGGGGGTATAAATAAATTTCTGCCTGACAAAAACACACAAAAGTAAATAACTTATAGCCTCACAGCTATTAGATTTAAGAAGAAACTTTTGGTACGTCTGTAAAGGTAAGATGTCATAGAATGGTTTTCTGGTGTCAGCACCATTGTAGCTTTGACCCTGTCTGAAATATTAGGGACAAAATACAAAATATTTTGCATTTTTTGAACCTCGCCAAAATTTTATTTGAAATAAACATTGCAAAACACTACCAAAATATTATTTATAGCACAAAAAAGTAGTACAGACTTTCAAATCTAAATGTTGTGTAAAAATATACAAAATTTGGTATCAATCAGATGAATCATATTTATTTTAGAATGGTATTAGTGAGAAATTTCTTAGGCGGAGGGGCCATTTTGGCACATTTATCCATAAATGTCACCAAACTGTGCCAAATATGTTTTTTACATCAATACTGGGGGTTTGTTAAAATTACGAGGTCACGTAGCAGCTGGACCCGCCGGTGGGTCCGTAGGGTTCAAGGGGATAAAAAATACAATGCATTTCTTATTGTGGATGTTAATAAGAAAATTTAAGTTCTCTTTTTTTTTTTTTACATATTAACATATCACATTTGGATCTTCTATAGTGGGTGAGAGGGAAACTGAATGGCTCATTAAATTTGGTTGCAAACACCTTTTCTAATCTAGGAGTCCAACATGGTTATTAATTAAAGGAAAAAAACAAGTGTGACAAATAAGGTTAAAAGTGTTTGTGGTCACTGAACCATTAAGCTCTTATCTGTAATTATTTGTTGCTTTAAATATATGGTTATTTCTGTACTCTAAATACCTCAAGGGTTTGTCTCAACCAGAATGGAAATGGATTATTTAGTAAAATAATGACAAAGAGCATCAGATGGTGGTGGCTTTTAGTATGGTATCGATATGCACCACACTATGGAAGCTGCAGGGCAACATTCTACTCTTTCTTATTGTGGGTGACACAGCAATCTCAAAATACATTTGTCAAATCGGTTAAAATAAACAATGACATGTGAGACATTTCTCTGAAAACAGGACTGAAAAAGTCCTCTCTTCAGAGGAGGCTAACTACAAACTAGCTGTCTCTACCAGGGGACAGAAAAGTTCCTGGACTACACTTCCCTGTTTCTAACATAGTGCTAAAATAAGCTCTGTCGTTATACTGAATTATTCTTCCTGCTTTGTAAAAGCTGCACCGGTGTCGTTTTCTCCTGATGAATACTTCTTCTTTTATTTGTTTCTCTTGTCTCTCATTGGTCAAAGAGTACAGATGGTCGACCAATTGCAATGAAAAGTAGGAGTTAGAATGATGTACGGCACATTTTTTCACATTCAGGTAAAACCCACAAGGCTGACAAGTTTGTCTTCTTTTAGCTGCTCTAATCAAAATACCAACATGGTACCTATGAATTTATAAATCACTAATTCTAAGATCTGTGAATGCTTTCGTCTTTGATGTTATTAGATATTTAGTATACTGTATGTATTTATGAAGGCAATGCTTGATTTTTACTAAATAAAACAATTTTTTTTACAAACTGTCCCTGAGATGAAAAGAAATGTAAATAATAAGTGTTTACCAGGAGGGTGTAGTATCCATTGTGTGCCTGAAGGATTCTGTAGGTATAAACCACCCTCTGTTTGCTGAAAAGAGAAAAGCAGAAATTCAATGATACTGAGGAATTCATTTTGAGGAAACATTGCACTGCTTTCGTCAACAATGACTGCTAAAGATGAGATCTGGCCCCATATTTACATACCACATATCATCCCTCTATTCTGTGGGTCATTTAGATGGTTTCTGCATACGGTATCTGCTTTATTAGATAAAAACAAATTTGCATATATATTTTGGAACAAGCATGTGAAATACAACCATAAGAAAACCTCAGCCGAAGCTCAAGTCACAGCATGAAAGGCTGTAAAGAAGAGATGTGGTTTCTTTAAATAAGAAACAAAGAAACCAACGGCTTCTCTGAAAGTCAACCGCTTTAGACGGTTTTCAAAGCACAGAACTCAACTGGTCTCGCTGCTTTCAGATGGAGAACATAAAAAGGAATTACAGGTTTTGATTTTACAATTATTCTCCTTTAGTTTCTAGGGTAAGTGAATGACTATTGGCACCAGGATTACAACAAATGTGAACCATGAGCGAAAACTATGCTCCATTGGGGCCTCTTATTTTAATTAACCATGAGCTTACAGTATATAACTCCAAAGAAGTTTATTTTAAACTATACATCCCTCATGCAGGATTTGTTGACCCCCAGTTGTTATGAGGTGAATTGTTTGAAGCCTACAACCAACCCACGTGAAAAAACTCGGGAAATAGACTGAATGGTAATCGTCAGTTATCATTTCTGCAACCTTTGTTTCAAAGATATGAAATATTATTTTTTAGCTCATCCAAAGGTTGTTGTCCCCCATTTAGCTCTTAATTGAACCAAAGTTGGCCACGTTTTTAGCAATAAAACTGTCGTCTGTGTTGCTTTGGTTCTTAAGATATAAACATTTTTCATTTCAGCCAATGATGTCAGCATCCCAGCAGATGTTTGTGCTGCACTTATTCCACAATCTAGTTATTGATTAACATAATGTCATTCCTGTGCTTGCATTGAATATAACAGTGAGCATGTTTACCTTATTCAGTGGGTGGAATGGTCATTTCATAATATTTAGTAGTTCATGAAGATCCCAGATCCTTCTGTTTCGATCTGCTGTTAGCCCTGGCAACACCATAGCTTTTCCATGTCAAAATCTATGTAATACTGCTTCACAAAGGAAGCATAGGTGAACATAACATTATATACTGCTGCTAAATTGGTCTCCAATCACAACTTTTGAGACTATCAATTTCGGAAAAAAGTCCTGGAAGTACTGAAAAAGTAGTCCAGCTTGGTGTGTCTTGTAGCCCTCTGGTTGGATGGGGACGTCAGCCACTAAAATTAAATGTCCCATATTATACAAAAAAACAGTCAGATGTGTCCCGAAGCCTTTGTATGAGGTTCACAAATAAACAAAGACCTTCCGCCTCTAACACTTCCTTTCTCCACATCTTAGCTAATGTATGCTCAAAATTCTATGTTTGAAAAGTATTCCCCTTATGATGTCATGGGGGGTAATAAGTTGCCCAGAACGGTCTGTAGCAGCCCATAGATGGGGTAACTACTGTCAGGCACTTAGGACTTTGGACCCAGAATTCAAGCAGACAGCACAGAGATGACCAAAACAAGCTCAGGTTAGTTACTCTGAAAACTCAAACAGACCATAACAATGAGCATGTAAGTCACTAACCTGGTTCTGAGTTCAGTCTGAGCCCAGAGCCTTGCGGCAACATTTTTTATTTTTAAGCCCCCGACCACACGAAGTCAAAGCGAACACGAAACGCTAATATTTTCCAGAAGGTTTGTCGTAAAGACGGAGACGTAAAATAAATGTGATCGCCCACACGAATGCATGAAAATGCTGCAAAATGTATGCCAGGCCTATAAGTGGCGCTGTGGTGCCAAAGCAAAAATAGGCAACAAAATGTTGGGCATGCGCACTAATATTTATACATGGTTGCCCTGCGGGTCCATTTTCGTGGTTAAGTCAAATTCAGGTGCTGAACTATGTCGTCTATATTGCTCTGTTCTTCCTGGAGATATTCCAGAAGAAGAAGATTCTGTTGTAAGCCCGACAGCAGGGTGAGTAGCATTAGCAGCAACCATTCAACACAGTACGGCGCCATTGTTGTTGTGATACTGTGTCGCGCATGCGTGTTTAGAGGCGACGCTATGACACATGCGTGTAAAAAAAAAAATGCGGTTAGAGCTTAAAGATGGAAACGCGAAAACGGCGTTTCAAAATCTTCCCACTCTGAAGGCTGAATAAAAAAAGATCGTTTACAGACCCCCGAAACGCCGGCTTCGTATGGATGAGAGGCTGGTTTGGTGAAAAATTTGTGCGTTTAGGCCAGGGTTTGACTTCGTGTGGACGGGGCCTAAAACTACTTTAAGTATAAAGGTAAAATGCCAACTTGGCATTAACCAATAAATTATAACTAATCATAAATGTGTCATAACTGCACAGATGGCAGGCAAACAGGAAGCATAAATAGCAACAGGAACAAGATGAAGGGTAATGAACACCCGGGCCAATTAGACAGGTGAACAGAGTAATCCCTTAAGCCAGCGGTCCCCAACCACCGGGCCGCGGACCGGTAAAAATAATAATAATTATATATATATATAATTTATCGACGATCAAAGTCTGAGTGATGTTTTATTTTGAAAAATATAAAAAATTGCGGTATTCTCTCCCAATTACATCAGTCGGTGCATCTGTGCCTCTTGACACAGGTTAATTGAGGTCAAGACTCATCCTATCTATAACATCCTATCTTTGTGAAGCGGGATTTTCTGCGTTTACAGCGACCTAAACAAAGCTATGGAGCAGACTGGACATCAGGAGCACACTTCGTGTGTCATTGTCTCCGATTACGCCACGATGGGACCGGCTTATTGTTTTATTTTTATGCTGTTTGTATTTCATTTTATGCCAGTCGTATCATTTTACTTGATTGTATTCCCCCCCCCCCCCCCCCCCCCCCCCCGCCCGGCCGGGCGCCCAAAGCCCCCCCCCGTCCGGGAATATATTGTCTGACATGAAGCGGTCCGTGGTGCAAAAAAGGTTGGGGACCGCTGCCTTAAGCCAGTCTTAAGCGCCAAGACTATGACAGTTATGGTTAAACATGTTATGACATTTATGATGGAATAATATGAAATTCTAAATAATGTCAACTTTTCTTTTACCAAAGGATAAATGACAACAGTAATAAACACTCATAAACACTCCTTTGTGTTTATGACTGTGGACTAAATTTGTTATGACTAAATATCACAAAAGCGGAACATTTAATAAACTGTAAAAACACGTATCCTTAAAATAAGATTTCTGTAAAGCTCATCTTTCATTTCCGCTCACAACATCTCTGCTGCTGTCCCACTGGTCACATCACTCTAAATAGCCACAGCAACCACTCAAAATAAGACTGTTTAATTTGAGCAAGGCTGACACCCTTAAGCCCAGTCTGGCTTTTCTTTTTACTGGGCTAAGCGGTAAACAGGCAATGTGTCACCCCTTAATTGAGTCACAGAGACTTTTTCGAAAATGTTCCTTTGACCTGTTGATTGCACTTGTGCGACTTGAGGTTTCTTTAATTACCGGTATGCCCAATAAAAAGAACTAGGTTGCATGTGCAACCAAATTGCACTCTAGGGCCATTATTCAGTTAATCACTCTTTAGTAGTTTAGTACTTTAGCTAGTTAAGAGAAAAAACAAACAAATACTGATTACTTATTTTACTTATTGATTACTTATTTATTTTAGATTATTTATTTGCAAAAATCCTTACAGAGTACTGCCGTCCATGTCTGATCTTGGTTCTGTTTGGTTCCTTTTCCTTCATGCAGCACATGCTGTTCTACACAGACCAAATCACGCCTCTGCCTCTTACTAGCAGCCGAAACTAAAACCAGATTCTTCAATCTACCGGTAAAAAAATAACAAATGGTAAATATGTCACCATGTAAACATGTTTATACTGTAAACGACTGTTGATTTTCCTTAAAACAGTGATATAAAAAAGGCGTTATAACAGTACAGACCATGTACCATTTTTAAGTATGTTTATAAAATTTCCTGTTGTTTCATTTTCCCCACGCCGGTCAAAATTCCCTGCACTATGCTTTGGTATTTTAAAAGGTATATAATAAAGTCCTTATTTCTAAATCTTAGTCTTGTTATTAATAATTCCTCCTTTTGGCTCACTACTACAGTTCTCATCTCTGCTGTAGTCTTTTTGATCCTATAAAACAATTTACTTCTCTTCCTCCATCTCACCTTTTCTGACATTCTTTCATCAAATTGATTAATAATCCTCCCTCTCTCAAATTCACTAATCACACTGTAAAGTTTTTCCTCTAGTTGATTGATTGAAACCCTTTTGATCACTAAGCAACAGTAGTGGAAAGTAACTAGTTATATTTAAGACTATGGCCATGCATACAGGCTAAATACTATTCTAAAGGCTGTAAACATTATAAGTATTATCTCCTGTACAAAGCCAGGGTTGAAGATTCCTCATCTAACAGGTAAAAATTGGGATCAGGTCTTAATATGACGGAAGCTTAAAGCTAACACCTACCTAAATTCAATAGCAAATAACTAAGTAACTGTAAGCCCAAATTACATGTGTGATACATCATTTGAAAGCTAAAAACTTCTAGTTTGAAAATCTAATTGAAAATAGCATTACTAAAACACAGCCAAAACTGCAGCAGTTAAAACATGACTTGTATTTGTTTCTTTTCTTCTTGAAAATAATATATCTTTTTTGAATAGCAGTAACTAAGACATGCTTGAAAATAGGCATGTGTCATTGTTTTATATTTATTCTGCATCTTGTCAAGCACAACTGCAGAAAATTTCAGACTTCTAGGTATAAGAGTTTCAGAGCTGCGGGAATTTTAACTTCTGGAGTCATCAGCATCTCCAAACCTCTGTAAATGTGTCAAATTATTCCAAATTGTGCTTACTGCTTTTACAATGTCACCCCAAAAATATCACTGAAACATTTTGATGGCCACAACAACATCATGTA